CCCCCTTCCCCCCTCTTTTCCCTCGATTCTCCCTCTACTCTCTCGGCCATACTATCGGCTTTCTCTCTCTCCAAGTTTGCAAAGATTGCAGAAGAAGCTTCCTCCGAATTTTTGGCGGCCGCCACTTTGAATGGCTGATGGCGGCGGCCCGATAGTTGGACGCGCGGCCGCGTGCCGTAAATTCGCGCAGGGGAGTTTAATGGAACGCAGATTGCAGGGACTTCCTTTGATTTATTGACAGCGCCAGCTGAAAGGGGCACTAACGCCGCCACTCCCCCCCCCCTCTTTCCTCTCCCTCTCTCTCCTTTGCCTTTCTCTCATCCCGCGGCGACCTCCGCCGCTCCCTCGATCTCTGTCTCTCACTCTCGGGCCGCTGCTCTGAACTTTTAATTGGTCTCCACCCATCATTTCGCGCGAGCACTTGCTTGTGAATAGCCCAGTGTAGTTCTGATGAGCCGCGTGCTCGAGAGAGAGAGAGAGAGAGAGAGAGAGAGAGAGAGGGAGAGAGATCCTGGAGTGGAGAGGGTAGCACGCGAGGCTTGGCGGGCGCCGTCAGTTAATCACATGTAACGCCGAGACTCCCGGGTTTGATAGCTTAATTCGCGGGCCGCACTTCCTCTCCAGAGCCGCCCGGCTCCGCCCGGCTCCGCCCAGGATGCGGCGTGTTCCAAATTTCCTCCTCCTGCTATCGCGGACTCCCGCCTCGCTGTGCGCCGCTGTTGGGAGCGCCGCTGTTGCGCTGACAACGCCCCCGGTGAGCCGTGCTGAGCCGTGCTGAGCCGTGCTGAGCCGTGCCTGGACCGGCGCTGCTGAGCCCGCGGCGCCGGCACAACACATGTCGCAGCGGGGGCCCGCCTCTCCCCTCAACCATCGCATCCATCCCGGTGCGCCCCCCAAACATCCGTATTATTTCATACTTTCCCGCCCCAAAAGCAGACATATTCATTGATCAGAAGACGGATTGACCACATTTTGCTGACTAAAACAACTTCTTTTATGGTTTATTTCGTGCGTGTCGCCCAATTTTGGTCGGTTTAATTCTTAAATCAGCTGTTCGCCTCATCCTGCCTCTCTCAGCCTCTCATGTGCGATGAGTCATTTGCCCCTTTGCGCCGACACTGCTCGTGACACCAATTATCCCATGGTTAGCTCCCCCTTCCGCTCCTGCTTGACTCCTCCTCCGCCT